TCTGAGGAGACGCTGGGTTCTGAGGTGTCTCCTCTTTAAACGCCTCTTTGTTGCCGGAGCTCTTGTTGTGCTCGCGGCCTCCTGCCGGGTTCTGGGAGGACGATGAGAAACTCTTTGTTGGGCTTAAGTCCTCCACAGATGGTATTAATGCACTTATCAAAGGCGGTGCCGGCGCTGGGCTCCTCCTGGCGACCCGCTAATGGCTCCTTTCATTACTGCACTCTTGTAAATTTAACACCATTCGCTCCTCACCAGTTGGTTTTTGTGCAGTTTGAGACAAACATGATGGAATAAAGTGAATCAGACCCTCAACTCTCTTTCTTCTTCTTCTTCTTCTTCTTCTTGCAGTTGTGTTGCTGAACTCTAAAGAGACTCAGGCTGAGCTGGGCTGGACCTCCTATCCCCCCAACGGAGTGAGTCCACTTCCATTATCTGGACAGTTTTTAATTCATCTGTTAACTCTAACAAATAAAGTTCTGGCTGCTCATCAACTAGACTGAGTTCTGTAGTTAAAAAAAAAAAAAATCATACATCATACATACATGCCATATATATATACAAATATATATAAACATATATTTGTATGTTTTTAGTCACTGCAGCACATTTTTACAGGTTAAAACTGAATCAGAGGTGAGATCCACTCGAGTCACTTTGATCATCTCTCCGTCAGACGGACCGATGATTATCAGTTATTCTGATCGATATTTAGACAGAACACCTTTCTGCTGCTCAGGTCAACACGCTGGAATCAGTTTTCACAGCTCATTAGAGCCGCGTGCAGTAATCAATACTTCAGGGCAAACTGAAGATAAATTTGAGCATTTTTAAGCGGTGATGCAGCAGCGAAGCCTCGAGATCGATGCTGCTGCAGCTTCAGCGTTCCTCTGACAGGTCGTTTCTTTAAGCAGCTGAAATCAGAAGGAACTGAATGTGTTCTGACTTGTAGTTGTTCAGAAATGCAGCTCCAGACTGTTTTCATTAAAGCCACTTACTCTACATGTCACATTATAAAAAATACCAAAATTACACGTTTGAAATTCATCAGATTTTGTAGAAAACAAAAACATTTGAAGCCGCCGTGAAGCTGGCGGTGACTCAGCTGGGATCAACAGTTGGGTTAAAAAAAAGAATCTGGAACTTTTTTTTGTTTCTGACGTTCATTTTAAATCCTAAAACACTGATCAGATCCTGTTTTTAAACTTTTTCTATTCTGCCTTTTGACTTCCTCCATCTGTTCCTTCACTTTGTCCTCGTCCACGTCCTTCTTCTCGTCTCTTTCCGGTGAGTCTTCTTGCTCTCTGCTCACTAACTTGTGCCGTCCCTGCAGTGGGAGGAGATCAGCGGCGTGGACGAGAAGTACAAGCCCATCCGGACCTACCAGGTGTGCAACGTGATGGAGCCCACGCAGCAGAACAACTGGCTGCAGACCGGCTGGGTGGCGCGCCGCGGCGGCCAGCGCATCTTCGTGGAGCTGCAGTTCACGCTGCGCGACTGCAACAGCATCCCCGGCGTGGCGGGGACCTGCAAGGAGACCTTCAACCTGCTGTACGTGGAGTCGGACCGGGACCTGGGCGGCGTGACCCGGGAGGACCGCTACACCAAGATCGACACCATCGCCGCCGACGAGAGCTTCACGCAGGGCGACCTCGGCGAGAGGAAGATGAAGCTGAACACGGAGGTGCGCGAGATCGGACACCTGAACCGGAAGGGCTTCCACCTGGCCTTCCAGGACGTGGGCGCCTGCGTGGCGCTGGTGGCCGTCCGGGTTTACTACAAGCGCTGCCTGGCCACCGTGCAGAACCTGGCCGTGTTCCCCGACACGGTGGCCGAGGCCGCCTTCGCCACGCTGGTGGAGGTGCGCGGCGCCTGCGTCAACAACTCGGAGGTGGACACGGACAGCCCTCCCAGGATGCACTGCAGCGCCGAGGGCGAGTGGCTGGTGCCCATCGGGAAGTGCAGCTGCAGCGCCGGCTACGAGGAAGGACACAGCAGCTGTGAAGGTAGGAAACAAGGAGGGAAGGAGGGAAGTGTGAGGAGTCGATGCTGTTGGTGTCTGTCAGTGTTTTATATTAATATCATGAAGCTGTGGTGATTTCTGTGTGACCAAGTCGATGGTTTGTGTCGGAAACCAGAAGCAAATGGCTGAAATGATGGAACCAATGTGCTAAACCTGCATGATGTGCTGATCGTTGGAAATGCAGCAACTTTAAAAGCTGTTTGTCCAACTTTAAAGACATTTTTGCAGCTTTTGAGTTGTCGAATTTTTAGAGTTCATCTTTAAGAACACAACATGTGCAGGAGTCGATGTCTGATTAGTGAAATTAAGAGAAAAGACAAAGAAGGAAGCGTGAGGAGACAGAAGGAGTCGATGCTGTTGTTGTCTTTCAGCGTTTTGCAGGAATATTATGAAACTGTGATGATTTCTGTGTGACTAAGTCTGAAGCAGCAGCAGGAAGCGAGAAAACTGCAACCAAACGAGAGCAACTGTGATCATTTTGTGCTGCTGTGGTTAAGATTTGAGCAGAAATGAGACGTCGAAGGACGAAGAAATAAGAGAAATGAGTGCAGCGCAGTCAGAGGGATGATCTGTTGGAGGTCGGCTGACATGACGTGTGAACGATGTGCTTGTAGATGCAAACGCAGCCCGAAGCTTCGATTTAAAAGTAGTTTTTTGGAGATTTTCAGGACATAAAAGCAGATTTCCGGTTGTCAAGTCGTCAGAGTTTCCCTGCAAGGAAACGGTTTGTTTAAGGCTCAATGAGTGGCTTTAAAAAAAAAAGAGGATTTTTAAAGTAAAACTAAAACCAGATGAGAAGGAAAAGGAGGGAACAGAAGAATGAGATGTTGTGAGCAGAGGAAGGAGTGGATGCTGTTGGAGGAGCATCGTGAAGCTGTGGTGATCTCTGGGTGACTGAGTCGATGGTTTGTGTCTGAAACCAGAGAAAACTGGTTGAAATGATCCAGTCACGTGTTGAATATGGAGCCTGGATTATTCACAGTGTGTGATAGTTACTAATGCAGCCGTTTCTCCTGGATGCAGGTGGATGTTTGAAAACCTAAATCGATTTATTTTTGCATCTTTCAACGACGTATTTGCGTTTTGAGCTCGTTAATTATATGACTTAAAAACGTGAAGATTTTTCAATGAGACAGACAAGAAAAGAAGAGAAAGGAGGAAAGAAAAGCAGCAGGAATGAGATTTTTTTGAGCGGAGGAACGAGGAGGACGACAGAAGGAGTCGGTGCTGTTGTTGTTTTACAGGAATAATGTGAAACTGTGATGATCTCTGGGTGACTAAGTCTGCAGCAGCAGCAGGACGCCAGAGAATAACTGCAACCAAACAAATCTCCTCCGTCAGATTTCTGAGAAAGTCGTCGTTCTCTGAAACAGTCGCTGTTATTTCCACCTGATTCCAACAGAGTCAGTCGAAGGCTTTTAGCAGAAATGAGGCCTTGAAGGAACAAAAAAAAAAGGAGAAATAACTGCAACACAATCAAAGAGATGATCTGAAATGATCCACGTGAAGCTACAACTTTAAAAGATGTTTAGTGGCGAGATAGTCAGAGTTTCTCTTTGAGGAAACGATATATTTAGGAATCGAAGAATGACTTTAATAAAATGAGGGTTTTTTCAGTTAAATTAAAAACAGACGAAGGGAAAAGGAGGCAGAGATCAGACGGACTGAAGGGAGACGTTTAGGGAGAACATGAGGAATAAAAACAGACAGAAGAGGAACAACAGAGCTTCTCGTTCGAGAACCTCGGTCCTCGCTGTGAACACGGTGACGGACGAGCGCCTGCAGGAAGCCGACGTTAAACGGAGGCGATCGTCGGGAATCTGCTCGTTTCCAGCGTTCACACTCCATCTTGCATTGTTGTGCAATGCAGCGTGGGAGTTGGAGTCAGCGGGCAGCAGACGGTGGGACAGTAGCTCAGCCGTCACCGCTCCTGTTGTTGTTGCCGAGAGCTGCTGTTTTATTCAATCCAAATCCAGATATTTGCAATTATTTTCCACTTTAGGCTCATTTTATTATTAAAGTAGACTTTTTTATTTTTTTTTATTTTTTTTAAGGAAATTTGCTCAATAAGTGCTGATATATCAGCATAAAAGGTGTAATTTATATCAAGACTATTTATTTTTTAAAGCCAGCATGTTTCACAAATGCTAATCAGTTAAAGCTTTTACTTTGAAAGTGTGGCATATTTTACAGAATCTTTAAAAAAAAACAAAACCAATCAAACCCATTTTACAATAGCTCTGCTACTGGGTTTAAACTCTTATTTTGAAACATACTTTGTACGTGTGTGTGTGTGTGTGTGATGAACTGTTTGGTAAACTCAGGGAGCTTTTATTCTGACAGTCCAACACAGGGGGAGGTGGTGTGTTTATTTTGAAAATCCGGCATGCGTCGCAAACCCTGATCCTTTTAACGTCTTTAAAGCTTTTACTTTGAAAGTGTAGCACACTCAACAGAATCCAGTTGATTTCTTGTAAATAAAAATTAAATCCAGGCTCCAGTGGATCTGCTGACTCAGCTCTATTGCGAGGTATGGACTCTTATTTTGAAAGTGAACCCAAGCATACAGATGGTTTATCCATTAATACCTGTGTGACAAAGTTAGAAAGCATTGGGAGCTTTTATTTTGACGGTTTAGCACGGTGGAAAGCTATGAGTTGGTGTGTTTATTTTGAAAAGCCCGCCTTATTCAGCTTTTGTGACATTTCAGAACTTTAATTTTGATAGTGCAGTGTATGCATCCTTCTTCCTTTTTTTAAAAAAAAGCTAATTAGATGCTTTTCAAAATAAAAGAACTTCCTGTTGCCAGAGCCCTTCCATCCCAATGGGGATTTTTAACACAGTTTTTTTCCGCCATCTCTGATCGAGCTGCTCGTTGTGACGTACAGTTTAACAGGTTTCAGTCGAAGCTGTCGGACGAGTTACAGAAAATTGCTCCAGAAGGATCTAGAACCAGAGCTTCAGTGGTGCAGAAAGACGCTTCAGCTGCTGCTCCTGTTGGGCTTCATGCTGATGCAATAATTAAATTTCAAGAAGGAAACGGAGTGAAACGGACGCTGGGAGCAGCTCCGGCGCCGACAGGAAGAAGCTTCGGCCTCGCGTTGGTCCGGAGAAAAATATCTGAGTTAAACCGAAAAAGGCCGGTTTGTAGAACTTTGGCTGCAGAGGTTTTGACAAGGGTTTGACGGCTGGACGTGAGAACAGAATGCAGTCGCTCCACGATGCCCGTTTTCACAATAAAAGCATCGTATCAGAGTTGAGATTGGAGCTTCTCTCGCTTCATGATCATCCAGGACAGCAGCACTCTTAATTCTTATTAATGTACTAGACAGCCAGAATTATTTTAAGGTTCTGGTGTCACATCAAACCACGTTTTTAATTACACCTGGAGGGAAAGTAGATTTATTTTGAAAGAGATGTATTTTCCCACCAAAAAACAACAAAAAACGCAACTTTCACCCAAAAAAACCAGGTTTACTTTCTACGTTTTTTTAACGTTTCTATACGACCAAACCGCGTCCTCAATTAAACCTGGAGGGAAAGTTGTTTTATTTTGAAAGTGGTGTGATTTCGCACCCAAAAAAACAAAACAAAACAAAAAACAGGTTTACTTTCGGCTGTTGCTCATTTTCTGGCTCAATTTAGGAACCAAAATATCAAAGTTTAGGAAAATATCAGTTTAGGGCACAAAATGCATGTTAGGAGATTAAAAAAAAAAAAATCTCTTCTGCCACACGTTTGAAACTTTTCCTCCATTTTCTGGGTTGCCATGGTGACAGGCCCCTTCCCCATCCGACGTGCGATTGGTCGGCTGAAAAGAAGAAGAAGAAGCCGTAAAACAAGCTGCTGAGATGCTGCAGAAGTTTGGCTGCAGAGTTTTTGAAAAGTGTTTGACGGCCGGAGACCAGAACAGTCGCTCAACAGGGCCCGTTTTTCACAATAAAAGCTCCGGGGTGGGTTAAAAAAAAAAAAAAAGCAGCATTTTAAAGGACAAGCAGGAGCAGAAGACTCTCTCCACCTTCCCTCAGTGCAGCTTAGAAACTAACCGTGTGGTTCAGCCGGTGACGGGGAGCGTGGCTGTGCAGGAGATACACACCGATAACACACACTCCCTCCTCCTCCTCCTCCTCCTCCTCCTCCTCACTTCAGCCGTAATGGCGTGAATATGCAGCCGAGGCCCGACATCTCCCACTGCAGCAGAGCTATTGATCAGCCGTAATGCTCCACTAAACTGAGGAATTGCGCTGGGACTGTTCACACACACACGTTCAGGAAGGACATCTGCAGCCGCACACACACACACACACACACACACACACACACACACACACACACTCTGGGTTTTGATTTAATTCTGCATGCAGGAAGAAAAAAAAAAAAGAAAAAAAAAGACACGTAATCTAATGAAGGCAAAGCTGCAATCAGCGTAATCACAGCTAATTCCTCTGCGTGTTTCGCCTACAGTCAGCGGCGGCGGCGGCGTCTTATTTACTCCTGGGCGTAATCGGTTCGCTAAGTGTCTCGGTGCGGGTCGATAATATCGAGTAGCCGGTGAGCAGGTGCTGATAGCGGTGGCGGCCGACGGAGCGGAGGATTATTACAACCAGGAAACAGTGGATTACTGCAGATTACGCCGTCGTCGTGTCGTCCGGCTCCGACGCAGGAATAAACACCAAACTACTGCCGAGGGAAACAAAGAAACAAAGACGAGTCCAGCGGCTGGATAAAAGTGGAGAAATATTAAGATGTAAGATAAGATGAGCCTTCATTCATCCCACAGGGGGACGTTTGTCTCGGTTCAGGCAAAACATTTCGTTACGGCAGCACAAAAATCAAAATAAACCGAGATTATAAATTATATTACACAAGATTGAAACGTTTCTGCAAAATCAACATAAAAACACAGCTGAGAGGGTTTGTCTCCGGTATAAGTTAGCAACTAATAACCTTTATTGCTAATCAAGAAAGACTACATTTGAAGCG